TTAATAAAATCACTCAAATTTTGATGAAGTGAGGTGTACCAAGTATCATCTAATCACACCTCCTTCGTTCATATAAACCAGATTAATATGCCAAAGCCTGGTTTACCCCTCATCTCAAGTTTCAGTCCGTTCGGGAATTGAACCACGGACCTGGACTGGCACAACAATATTGAAATGTGTCTCAAATGTATGGTGAGAGGATGTGGATTGAATTCATCTGGCTTACAGTTTGGCAGAGCAAGGAGGTAATGAGAAAACTGTAATAAACATTCGGGTTTTATAAAACGCGGGGAATTTCCTGACTATCCTAGTGATTATCAGATTTTTTTAAAGAAATCTGCTTCATAGAGTTAAGTCTCCAATTGGACTGTTAATTTTGTATATCATCAAAAATGTCTCTAGTTTCAGGCACCTTATGTCTTCATACTAAATCAATGTTTCTACAAAACTCAGAATAACGTATGCGTACTACATTATTTCTCAAAATCCATTACACAAACTGAGCGGTCGCCACTCGTCACAGCATTTATATTTGTAAAAATGCTCTGAACGATATTTTTTAATATAAACGGCACAGATCACCCGGAAGTAATTGCTGTTTTATAACTTTGTTACAAGGCAATGAAACTGTACTTTTTATTACAATTTGATAGATAACACGGGTGTCAGTATCAAATTATGACCGGACAGCTAGGTTATCAGAGTAATGAATGTGTCGAACTGTTTTCATTATTATTTCTCTCCTGAGCTCATCAAACTGATTAATTACCCCGAGTGTTGGGGGTGATGTACTTTTACTCAATTAAATTAAAATGAGAGCTGTAGAGAGCTTGATTTATTATAGACATTCTACATGCGTTGTTGAACCACTCGCAGTTTCAATTATCGCTTTCAAGATATCGCAAAAAGATACATTTTCACTGTTTGAATGCTGTATCGTGTTATGCGTACATCTGAATTGCTTGTCATGTGTTTTTTTTTTTTAAAAAAAAAGTGAAATTTGAATCTGCTCTGGAGTTCTGAAAATGCATCTCACAGCGATACTAAATTAATACAGCTATTATCAGTGTAATGCCTAATAGTTACGAATGAGGTGTGTAATTATAGAAAATGAAGGTACATTTATAATAACTGCCACGAGTGTGGTAATGCTAATAATGAACTGACATGATTACAGCAGAACTCGGAAGTTCCGACGCTTTTAACACCAAAGCGCACCGTTATACACGAAACAGGGCCGGTTCCACACCCCTCAAACCCTTAATCTACATTTCCAAGATTATTTTTATGATATCGTCCTATATCCTTGTACCTATTCCAAATGGACGTTTTCAAAGATGTTTCCCCTTACATCCATCTTAGTCTCATGCCCAGTTCATTAAAGCATTCCAAATATCTGACACGCACGAACCACAAATTGCTTATTTATTTAACGTCAGATGGATCTAAATATTTCACAAATATTCTCACAAAATGTTAGCCACAGAATAAATTATCTTCGTTGTGATTAGTTTCCGTACATTTGACTTCCATATTCAAGAAGGTTTCTCCATCGATGTAAATGAAAATTACATTTCCCATTTAGAAATTCTAAAATGATTTTTAACTGAAAGTAAGTACCTCACTTTTCCAATTCCAACCATTTTAGGTAACATTTTTTATCAGAACGATTTAACTAATTGACATTTAAACATGAATTAAATAAGAGAATGTAAATGAGAATAAAATACGACTATATTTATATATAACAACACTGATGCCTATACATTTTATGGTAATTAAATGATTAGTACATCGTAATTTAACATTAGCAACCCTCGATGATTTAAATTCTTATTTAATATTTAGTAAACACTTTTAAAACATTACGCAATATTAATTAAACGTGAATATTATGAACACCTAGTCTACTCAAAGGTAATAATAATTTTGGTAGAGTGAACAGTTATTACAACGTGCAAACATATAACTAATTTTGCAGGATTTGATAGTGATTTCGAAGACAGCAATCTTCCATAACTAATTTTAAACGTACGAATTTTTGACTTTTATATTTCCCACTTAGTACACATACTCCCATACACATTGCAACGTTCATGCAAGGGTAAAGAGATTCAAATCCAAACATATATAACCAAAATAGAGCCGCTAATCTAAGGCCTGTAATTCACAATACTTGCAATTTAGCAAAGCTGGCGCTTAGCCTTAAGTTTATGTCTAAATTGTACAATTATATCACAAAATTAAGAAATCCTATTTAAGAGGACTTTGAGAAAATTATCTTTCGTTTCGTGAGCTTTTAGATCTTATATCCTTCTACCCCAGCACTCGTCTCAAAAACTGAGTATTAGCGAACAACTGAAAAGATCGACCAACATCCTAAGGATGAATCTTGTTGGATAATCGGTGTTAGGCAGACTTTGTGAAACGTGAGGAAACGTGACTAACAATTCCGCAACACTTCTGACGTCACATAATAGTCACTAACAACTAACACAAACCACACAGGATTTCCCTGCAAGTCAGTAATTTATGGGACCAATTTTTTTTAAGGCACGGTCTCGGTCTCGGTCTCGGTCTCAACAGCTCGAAGACATCGTGGGTTCGAATCCCACACGAAGCATATAAGCACATCTGGACTACAAACAAACTGTTAACAGAAACTGACATTAACACCGAAGCTTCGTTGGAGTTCACAGGCACAGACGACGCAACCACGGCTCGCCGCAGACCAGCAACGGCCACCAGACCAATGGACGAAAAGCTAAGTGTAGAATATAATATAGGCCAACCCCTGTGAAGTGTTACTTATTATGGTTTTGTAAAGAACTCACTATTAGCTTCATAATATGTTTAAATCCATTTTTGAGATTACATGAATTAATTTTCCACCTACTGCTACTGATGACGACCTCTTGAGGTCGAAACGCGTTTAGCACTAGTGTCATTTATAGTGTTAATAGTTTGTTTGTTTTCTTATTTTTACATAAGCAGAGTTCAACCAGAAAAACAGTAACACATGCTACAAGACCAATTGCCCAAATTATGAAATCTACAGCCACATCTGACATTCCCAAACTCCACTGAGGGAGTTCCAATTCTTCGCTGTCACCGAACTCAGCTTCCAATTTCATTTCGTAGTTGGTGGCATCGTCCCATTTATCCACAAGGCCCGCCTGTGTGATTCTACCGAACAAGACGTGAAGCCTCGGTAGGTAAGGCGAGCCCTTGGGCACCATGTACGACATGAAGTACACCCTCGGCGCTTCTTCGACAATGTGAAGCATTCCGTTGCCATTATGCCTCATGAACCAAGTGGCTTTCTTCTTGCTGCACAGCAGTGACACATTCTTGTACTTTTTCATTCGACTGACAACGAAGAGAGAATCCTGTCGGTAAGCCAGTTTACCGCTTAAGTTTTCCATAGTTTCTGATCCGTTGAAAGTGTCCAAAAGGTTTGGATTATCTGTGAAAATGAAGAGTCCTGCCTCGTCCAGTTGCTGTAACGTATCGATGTCCGTATCAAAATGAGGGTTAGTTACTACATCAAGTAATAATCCCTGAAAATTGCACATAATAAACCAACTGAAAATTAAGCATGAAGAAAGTAAGAGTCTCTGAGTCGAAGACTTGATTTTGGTAAGAAAAGACAGTGGCATATTCATAAAGATGGCCAACATTTCAAGGATATTTGTAAAGAAAGATGTTTCGTATCGTCTCTTCAGGTGACGCCCAGCGTCGGCTCTCCTTAAGAGATACCACACTACAACACAAGACAAGAACGACGCCAGAACGTACTGCCAGTGAAGACGCCTCAATGCTTTGTAAATCACCATCCATATGTGAAGTCTGGCCGATTTCGGGACAAGAACCACCACCTCCTGATTACGTATTGCGGGCATGGTGAACTCAATTTCGTCAGTCCCGTAATATTTTAAATATATCTCGTTCACAGCGATATCGGTGCGTCTACTGATCAAATCCGCCATCGCGCCAGTGAAAGTGCCGTTTTCCAATTTGTACCCAATTTTTTCGTTCTGCTTCGGTGGTATAATTACAGGTGTAAAATTCATGTACTTGGCAATTATATTTAAAACTCGTCCGTCCCTTCTTCTGCTGATCCACTTGCCTGTGGCGTTGTCATACTGAAGAAAAGCTGTAGGCACATCACTGAACATGCTGACGTTAAGAGTGTAACCATGGAGATTAGTAGTTCGTTGTAAGTAAGTTTTAGGTAGCTCGTGCAATTCATCCGCTTTCACCATCCACATTTTTGTTTTTCTAGTCACTTCATCCATTAAGAACGGGTCGTAAGCCAAAATATATTCTACGTCTGACTTCGTCAAAGATTTTATCACGATGAGCACGTTCAGAATCCCACGATCGCTCCAAAGACGATCAAATATATTGTGATGTTTACTTGTCGTGTCTGTTTCACTGTATGATATGAGGATTAAGAAGTTCTCTTTCGGTCTCCAAGTGCTCTGCGGGTACTCCTTCCAGCCACTATCCAAATACCGAGTGAGAGACGAAGAATTCGGTGCAATGAGTAAGTGGGAATGTTCTCTGGAAGGGGTGTACCGTCTTCGAAGCTCGGCATGTCCCACTGTCAAAATAATTGGAATATCCAAAAGCCTGTTAACTTCAGAGACTACATGGGTGACATATGAATGAAATGTTTCTGATACTGACTCGAGAATTATCACAGACAGAACGCGAGAATTTCTGAAATGATACAAACACGCTGTCCAAAGGAGAGTTCTGTGGTGCGTCGTAGAAGTTCTCCTCTGCTCTTCAAACTGTTCTGGATGTAGTCTCGCCAAAAGTCCCGTCGGTTTAGAATAGGTCGTACAGAGAACAGTAAGTGTTAATAACGGGAATATCACCAACTTCATGTTCGTTAATTTAAACAATATGACGAAATGTCACGTAAAATGAAATGTAAATATAGTTAATTAAAGCCTGGCTCAGTTTCTACGCAGTATTAAACAGTATGTGCAAAGCTCATATGGAGTGTGCAATAAAGATTCAGTTTGGAATTATTTTCTCTACTATACACTTCCACTGTTGTTTCTTGTACCTGAGATAAAAGGATACACAGTTCATTCAAGACATTGGATGCTAATATTTCAGGCCACTTTTTTCTTGAATTATCGATTGCGCCAATTTAATATTGAAAATTATTTAGTACGTTAATTTACAAAGTCAACAGCATTTCACAGGCCAAAAAAACGTACAGACTAATATTAAATTATACGAGCAAATATTACACGTGTAGAACCCTACGCTGTCACACATAGCAAATACATTCTTCAATCCCACACAAAGAAGCTGCTATAAGATGACGAATCCTTAGACACAGCAGATAATGTATGTTACTTAAAGAATTCAAAACCCGTCTTAGCTGTTTATAAGATACTAGTTCTCTCTCTTGGTTATGCGTGTACTGTTCAACTTATTACGTTTTATTAAATAAACCCGCCTACTTATACTTCAAGTTAACATGTGACCTGTACACAAACTGAAGCTTCAGCGGTCTCCAGGGGATTTCGTATAGACTTATCTTCTACATCTTTACTACGTTCAAATTAAACGTCAGTCCGTAATTACTCACGAGGGAATTAAAAGCAAGTGGAGTTGGATACAAATATTATTGTGACCGGACATACGCTTCTCTTGGGAACAAATATTGGAAATGTATGAAAGCGACATGTTAATTGCGTGACAATTTATTTAACGAGACAAGAACTCTCGCTGTCAAAGTCGAAGAAAACAGTCGACTTACCTACGTCATTCCTTCACTAATACAAAACTATTACTTAGCTTTCTAAATTTGTTTAGCCCCACATACGTCAATGTCAACTACTTACACCGTCTGCTTTGTATATTCCTGGATTCCATCCTGGTGAGCATTTAAGCCAATGAAAATCAGTTTACACACATGAAGACATGGAGAGAATTACTGGTAAAGCTCCATGCATTCTTAACTTCTGTACCAGATACAGCTTCATTATACGGTCGCTTTACCTGCGAGAAAAGAGTTCCTGGTACCCAGAGTGGGCCTCAGCGCCGGTCTCTTCACGGCGTTTGCAAGGCGGACTACTACAGTTAAAACACACCAACGTACATTTTAAAATATGGAATGAAGATTAACCATTCTAGGAAAAATTCCGAATATTTTCGTGTCTCCGAAAATTACGCTTAACTCGTAGCAGGCCTAAATGCCTAATCAGCAAAAACCGAGGAAAGATAATTAATTACGAAATGAATTTATTTTGTGTCCCTGTGCGAACTAATTTCTGATTATGTAGGTGTTAATATTAGCCAAAATTATAAAAATAATCTTTAGGTTATAGTCAAATCCCATGCTCTTTTTACATAAGGCATATATTACATTACACTATTATACATTATACTACACTGTGGAGATTAATAATGAAGTAACATACATTAATAAAATTTTCTCGGTCTATTAGCCGCATCAGTTAATTAAACATTCAAGTGATTCTTAACCAAAGGACACGGCTGATAGTCCTCGTGAAAGGTTTACATCACACGAGTAGCACAAACTTGAACCTTGGTGATGTTTAATGAAAGACAGTCATGAGAAATGTAATATAGATAACGTAGCATAATATAATAATATATATTTCAACAAAATTTAGTATAGTATATGTAGTGTAGTACACAATACTTTAGTTTCTTTTAAGCAAAACATCTTTCCAACAAGAATACTACAGTTCCAACAGCAACCCCAACTGCCCATACCAAGAAAGAGAACTGAAAGTCGAAGAATGCAAAAACCTTCGCATTCCCGGTGTCCTGAAGGTTAGCTCTGCCCTCACGCAAAGCTTTCAGTTGCAGTCTGTAGCTGGCGTCCACGTCCCACTTCCTCACCAGACCCGCCTGACTCATCTTCCCTAGCAAGTTGTGGATCCTCGTGGCGTACGGAGAGCCCTTTGGGATCATGTACGAGACGAAATACTCCCTGGGACTCTCGCTGACGATGTGCAGCTTGTTGGGGAATTTGCCGAGGAACCACAGGGCCTCTCCCTTACTGGTCAGCATACAGGCGTTCCTGTGGTTTGCGATCTGGTGCAACAGAGCGTCTTCAGACACGTCCTGGTGCTGAAGTCTGTCGGCGAGGTTCCTCAAGGCCAGAGACTCGTTGAATGTGTCCAGAAGGTTGCGGTCCAGCGTGATGATGGGTAGTCCCGTCTTGTCAAGTTTCTGGAGAGTGTCGATGTCCGGCTGGAAGCGCGGGTGAGCGACCGTGTCGAGCAGAGAACTCTGGAAGAGACACATGACGACCAGGCTGAAGAAGAGACAGGATGCGATGAGCAGTCTCTGAGACAAGGCCGAGATCTTCGTGAGGAAACTGAGAGACATCGTGAGGAACACTGCCATGGTGTCAACGGCGTTGGTGAGGAACGACACTTTCTCGCTCAGTCTTCTTAGAACGTACCACACTACCGTGGTGACCAAGAAGACGGCAAGCAAGCAGACCCAGAAGTGGAAGGTGAAGCACTCGGACATCGCTCTCCACCAGGGAATTCGTTGTGCTTTCGGAACTATTACCACCAGCTGCTGTGTGTAGAAGGCGGGCATGGTGAACTCTATGTCTGCGTCGTAGTCCTTTATGTATCTTTCGTTGGCAGAGATGTCTACCCTTTTGTACACCAAGTCTCCCAGTGACCCCGTGAAAACTGATTCAGTTTTGTAGCCTAATCCTTTCCCGTCCCGCGGTTGGCTGATGACTGGGGTGAAGTTCATATATGTGGCGAGGTTCCTCAACACCTCCCAGTCACGCCCTTCGTATGAACATTTTTTAAGTGATCTACAGTTGAATACGGCGTTTGGAAACGAGTGAAGCATTGTGACCCTGACGGAATAACCCTTTAAATTCCATGTCCTCTCCAGGTAAGATCTAGGTAACTCCGCTACCTGCTCTGGCGTAACGTTTATAACGCCATTCGTCTCAAAAAAGTCGTAAACCATTATATCACTCTGCTTGTTGCAAATGTCCATGTACTTTACTATGGTTATTACGTTCAGAACCTGATACTTCGTCCAAAGATTAAGAAAGGTAGATCCATACATGTCCGTCGTGCCACCCGCATGCCAACTGCTATGCAAAATGGTCAGAATTAGGTAGTTATCTCTTGACGTCCACTCATATTGAGGATAAGATGTACTATCATACGTGTAGAGGTATGTATTCATTTCACTGTGAGATATTATCAAGTATGAGTGGTAAGACTCAGGTGGATATTCACGAACGTAGTCCAATGAAATGGGATGAAGCGAACGGCCTGGATATGTTTCAAAAGCTTTGAAGTAAGTCAGTATAATTGGTATATTCAAATGTTTGTACATTTCTTGAATAAGGTCGGCAACGGTGTCGTTCCAAACTCTGTTGTTTAACGACGTTACTGTTACTGTAAGAATTTTGCTAGAACGAAAATGAATCTTAGAAACTGACCAGAATGTTGGATCTTGAAGAAAATCTTCAGTAGCTTCCTTGTCGTGAAGATAATTTGAATCAAACCAATTTATAATCGTCACATGCACGAATAAAGGATATCCCAACAACAAAACTACGTAGCATATGTGCCTCATTATCAGTTTGTTACTTCACAATTTCATAAATATTTCAATTATCTCATTCAATAGACTTTTAATTACATACATCAGTTACCCAGACATTTAAATGTAAATTAGATGCGACGACGAACGACACATCTCCCAATCGGCATTGGTTACTTCACCACTTGTTCCACAACTCAAGAGTCCTCAACAGTGGACGCAGCAGAATACTCGCCACTCAGGCCTGCTTGTCGATTATCGATTTTATTTCCATAGACAAAATAAGGCGACGTAGAATCCCATTAAAGTCACATTCCAATCATTAGGTTATTTTCCTAGTACATAAATCTTACGGTCACTGAAGTTACAAAAACAATTTTTTAAAACGCAAGCTGACTGTGACGAATTGAATGTGACCAAAGCACACGAAGAGACGTATCTCATTTCAGAAAGTAGGATAATTGAATTAATCTGAAGAAATGGATGTACGTCCAGCAAAATAAATCAACTCACATACAGAAGCGTAACTTTCTTATTATATGGTTAGTTTACGACTCTGTGCTGATTACAGAATATATTCAGCACAAAATAATTTATTAAAGTAAAATTATGGTCAAAGTGCTAAGAAGGGCATTTTATAACGAAGTCATGATCCATTTGTAAGAGGAAGAACGCTAAAAGGTCTTGCGCGCCCACAGAAAAAAAAAACATCTTTCAAATTATTTGGTTTCTTCATGGTTATCAACTATTAATCTTCCTACTAATGCGTTTTCCTATCAAAGTAACAGAAGAAATAAATGGTTAAGTATTCAAGTCGTTGTATGTATGAAATTAGCGTCAGAAATACAGGGTAGGAATATGCATCTACTATAAATGACACACACAAAGAAACAATTTGTAATTATGTGAAGAGAAATATATATATTAATATTTACATGCGACCCCATCTAGTGCCGGGGTCAAGGAAGAGAGGAGCTATACCTCCTCTCACCCCAAACGCCTACATGGCGTATAGTGGGACAAACTTTACTTACTTTACATGCGAACCGAGGGCAATGAGTTCGCTTATACCAGAGGTTCCCAAACTTTTATATTTCACGCCCCCCATCCAGAACAAATGCAAGCAAACAGATTTGACATAAAATTTAGCTATGAGTATACAGCACTGTAAGACAACTAAACTGCCTCAACCAAGCAAACGATGTTAAAAATGTTTCTCCATATTTCGTTAAAAACATTTTTCATACAAACAACCACCCCACCCCCCAGGGGGCGCGCCCCACACTTTGGGAACCTCTTTCTAATATGCTAGATGACGCCTTACAGATCCCTACCAAATTTATTTCATATCGACTTTAACATTTTCCTCCCATTTACGCGCAAGTCTCCCACCTCTACAGGGTTTCTTACTAAATTTAAAGGAACTTTATCGTGGTTGTTATGCAATCTACAAACCCAGCCCATCTCGTACTAATTGATTTATCAACCTAATCACATCAGATATGCCGATTTTGAATAAATCATGTTGTTTTTCGTATTATATGTGTCATGAAGAATTATCTGGTACTTCGGTCACTCTCCAGTTCACGTGAAAAAACCGAAACTCGAAACCACGACATTCAAAATGATGAATCAGTTTTGAAATGTTACGAAATCTGTGGGAAATGCAGTTTACGAGCCGCCTCTGATACTGTGCTTCATGTTATTTCATCCTTCCCATTTCTTTATCCTCACCTCCTGCTGTCATACACTGGAAATCGGTTTCGATCTCTCGAAAGAGCACTTTGTCCCTCAAAAGGTTAAGTCCAAGTCCTCTCAGGTACTTAACAGACTTACATAAGACATCACACATTTCAGTGAGTGCTGATCTGACAGACACATGGGAAAAAGAATTTCGGCCTACGAAGCTCAGGAAATATAATACTGCATTTCGCCTCGCCTTTCATAAGATGCTTTAAAACGAAAAAGTCCGTACATAATCCCGCCATGTTGACGACTATATGAGTTTAAAATTCCTTGTTAATGGTATTAATTTTTATGAGGCAACGTTTTCATAATGGCCAGTACATAAATTAAACTGGGTAAGACAACATGCATCAGACGCTTTGAAACAAAAGCATTTAACTTAAATGTGTCTGACGAGATTCGTTTAAGACGATCACCAAACTGTCGGAAGGTAGATAAAAAGATAAACAGACGAGAAAATAAAATAAGGGGTTGACACAAGCGATCTGATTTGTATCATCAAGGTTCCGGGTTCAAATCCGAACCTCGAGAAAAGCTATCGTGAGCAAGGTTTTTCGCGAACTTTCTCTGGCCTTCCAATGTTGAAATAGCAATTTTAATTAAATTAATTATTAATTGATCATCTATCTTTCGAAGCCACACAATTTAAATTAACTCAGAGTCGTTAAGTAAGTAAATAAGTAACTAAATACGGTCTTGAAACCAGGGACCCTGATGCCACTCATGCTCCCAGGCCACAGAAGTGAACGCGCGCACATACGCCATTACAGCCACTCGTAATGAGCTGAGCTAGTACGCCAGTTAACGCTCTGGAATTACTGCTAAACCCGGCGCATGTAAATAAAACAGCAACACCCCCATGGCTGTACATGCACTAAAATAAGCCGACCGTTCCAAAATCGCTGTGTGTTCACGGTCGTGTAACGATTTAGACACATTCTTTTATAGTTGTTTTTGTTCTTAAATCTATTGCATTCTCACTACTAGAATGTGTTTCATCTTCCATGATTTATTCTGACATTATTTGTTAATATTTTCACAAGGTCTTTGTGTGTTGATGTCTTGACAGATGCCTGGTGAGATTTGAGGTTTTTTACGGCGAACAGTATGGCGTCGGCTGTCGCGAACAACCCAGAAGACAGCCATCTTCAGACTCGCCACCGCGATAACCTCAAATCTCAATTTGTTTACCACTTACAAACATTCACCTTGAAAAACTTTCTTACAAGTCGTTTAACCATAATTATATTAACTGTAGGAGCCCTCGGGGATGTCCGTGCGGCCAGCTGCCATGCTTCTGTTTCTGTAACCATAGTTCCTAACCTACTACACTGGCAGCACAGTCGCCATACTTCCTCCGAAACATTAGTTTGTATTGGAGTAGATGGACCTACGTCTCAGAAGATAAGACTTCATATTCGTCGCTGTGAGAACCTAGAACCCCACCTAAAAGTTCATGCACGTGGCGTGCAGTTTTCAGCAACTCGGGGTTCTGCGTTGTAATCTCGTTGCACATGGGCCGATGTTGCGTGGAATTAGCCTTCAGAAAGCGTGACGCAATAGTCTCACTTCTGTCATGTTTATGTTGGTTCAAGAGTGGAACTTGAAGGCTATTACAAGTTGATCAAACGTGACACTACGCGTAAACTGGTTTATTCTTTCGTGTACCCCATTCGAACTGCCTGTAAATTATGCACCTGTCATAATAACATGCACGCACTACCACCCCCTCCTCCCAGCTAACGAGCTTAGTGGTGGAGTAGATGCACCATTATTTACAGAAAGGGTTTCGTTTGAATTGGACGCACAACGAATATCACTGAAATCCCCCCCCCCCCCCGCCCATAACATCCTAACCATACCTTGATTCGTAATTAGCGCATTGATAATTTATTGACACTCAATATTATTTGCTCTTTTAATAACTCTTTATCAACTGAAAACTACTGCGAAATAATTTCATTGATGTCGGTACTGAATTTTACACTAAATTCTTAAAAACAAATATTATGTTTCTTATGTATTTAAAATCGTATTAATAAACAACTTGCAACCCCAAGTTAAATTTTATTAACTAAAAATCTGCGTGGACAAAATTCCTTCATTAGAAGCCGACGTCGCTTCGGTATTCAAGAAATTCCGCGTCTTTATGGAGTCAAAAATTTAATTACCGAATTCGCAAAAGCCTGTCTTTGAACCTAAATTTGTAATTAGGTGAATCATACTCTCACAAACTCTTTTATGGATATCTATTTTAATATTATCCTCTCATCTATGCATTGGTCTGTTATGTAGTCTATTACTCAAAGGATTTCCCACCGAACACTTTGTAATCATTTATTATACATCCCATATCAGCAATATGTTCCGTCCATCCTAACTATCCTCGTTTTCATCAACGAATAATAACAAAATTTGGTACACGTAAAATAAAACAAACTAAATGTATACGCACATAACTTCAAAAACACTTTAAACTAGTAGGCATGTGTTTTACAGCATTTGTTTCTATACAAAATATTATATGACCGAACCGGTATAGTCACGCAGGTAAACGCAAGCATGCAACCATCTTCTTTCAATGTGAGTAATGGACAGCGGAGGAAACTGTGTACAGAAAACAAATTCATACATATTTAGTAAGATTATCAGATTTTGGCACTTACCGTAGCTTGCGATGCTTCTTCATAACTTATCTCGTTCTTCTCAAAGCATTTCACAACACAGGTCACACTAAAACAATAAAAAACTATAACAAATAAACAGAGAAACGTATCGAAGACCGACACCGCTACAAGAACACTCGTGACTACTTAATCCCCACGCCATCATGTGGTCATTATGAGAAACTACGGAAAACAAATGAAGACGAAAGACCTCGTTAAAAGATCAGAAATTGACCATCCCTACAAATTTAATCAGAATCAATTCAAAACAACTCTCATATTGTAAAAATTATTACGTTATAATGGAATATATGAACTATTTCAAAGACATTATCCAAAGTACAAACTGCATTATTTAATAACACCTTCGATATATTTTATCGATAATATAACAGCTAAAAAAACATAATTAAAATTTAAAAAAACATTTTTTATTAACACCTCGTTGCTTTTAAAAACAATTCTTATATCCTCCCTTCGCGAAATATGCCCCCCCCCACCATTTAATTCTCACTGATTTCATCACCGTGCAGAATAGCGTCCCTATTAGAGAAGTCGTGCAGTGTTACTTAATCCACTCTCATTTTCCAACCTGTTGAAATCACATGAAACATCTCGATAAACCAATTGGTTTAAATACCGCAAGAAATAAAGTTGGAGTATCATTTTGCCACTAAAACAGGCGGTGCCAAAGCACCTCTCACCCCCCCCCCCCACAC